GTTGTATATATAGTCTCAGCACAATTCTATTTCTATTTATGTTCTTTCTCCCAATACCATTGTTATCTATACCTATACTATACTACTTTAAAATGTCAAGATACATGAAAAATTTTATTTGGACACTTTTTCTCCAAATTTTTAAAAATGTCGAGATCATAATTAGAATTGAAATACCAATGGTGACATGGATCATATCAATTGGGTCATTAATATTTCACATTCATTATTATTGTATTTATTTAGTGTATATATAAATACACTAAATAACTTTCAATATTTTATTTAGTGTATGTTAACTCTTCATCTTCTAATATTTTCATGATATTATTATTGTCAGGTTTGATATAAGATAAACGAAATATCATATTCTCCTCTCCGATCTCAAAATAGTTAGCATAGAAACTCTTCTTACTACTATTACCATAACCATAAAATCTCAGTTATCCTTCGAAACTTTTGTTTTTCTTTTTCACTCCTCAACGTTATAAGTAAGTCATCTTAGTCCATTGAATGTAAGTTAATTAGGTTAACCTAATTATTATTACTTGTTAAGTGTGCTTTGCTAAAATTATACCTTTTCATATCTCTGTCTTATTATATTAAATCACTCTATAGAAATCAGTCGGCAAATGTACCGATTTTGTTCCGACTCTCTTGATCTCTACTCTCCTGATTCTAATTTTAATTAGCAGATGTGTGCCTCATTTTTGCATTAAACCTGTACAGCTTCTTTGGGCTTCTTCCTTTTGCTCTCGTGCTCTATAAATTATGGGAATTAATGTGTGAAGTTGCAATGATTATATCAGTTACCAATTGAATTGAGAATAACTGAAGTTCTACAAATTTTCGCCTTTCATTTCATATGCCACCTTTTAAGTCATAGACTTTTACATCATCGCTTTCTCTCTTAGATTAGATTAGACGAGCACACACCATGTGCATTGCCATTGCGAAACCAAGGGGCTACTGCTTGATCAGGTACAAAGATATGTTTAATTCTTTTTTTTTTTTTCCCCCACAGTGAATGACGCTTCAATATGAGATTGGTAAAAAGCTTTAAAAATATGTATTGATAAACCATCTTTTTCGATTTGCTTCTGCACTTGAATTATGACTTAAGTTTGTGTTGCTTGATGATATTGTGTCTAGTGTTTCTGGGTTTTTACGTTTAATTCTGATTTCCATGTCATTCTTGGTTTTTGTTGATGTATGTTTAGGATAAAAATTCTATGCATCAATGGGTCATGACTCAATCGAGGTGTTAGTTTAGAGTTTAATGTAGAGCTGTGGCAAAAACAGAAGAAATGTACACCAAATTCCCTGTGACAAGAAGTGTCAATGAGTTGACAAATAATATTTGTTCAGACTGAGATTTTTAAACGTAGATACAGAAGCATTCTATGAACACAAAATCAAATAATAAATGAGTATGAAGAGTTTACGAATAAACTTCTTGTTGTGAAATGCAAAAACACAATAGGCTACTTGAAGTAATGATTAAAACGGCGGAGGACCAAACTAAGGGTAAACAAAAAGAACAACTCACTAATTTGTCCACATTAGCATTGGGGTTAAAGCCATTCCAAGGAAGTTTCGACAAAAACCTATACACTAGCGTTTCTTAAATGTAGGATTCAGATCATTACTATTTCTTGTTTTGATTACAAAACACTAATTATTTGTATAAACTGAGACTTTGTTATAATAGATTGAACCCTTCATAGGATTATGTTTTCAACTCACTATACCCTTTTTAAATTATTTTAGACATAAAATAGATAATCACTGTTGTCGATTTTAATCTGTTTTATTTATTTATATACATGCTAACTATACCTTTCTCTTTAACTTACAAGAATATTTTTCGGTTAAGCATGTTTTACAAATGCCCACCATCTTTATTTCCCAATTAGTACTTCATAATCATTGGTATTGCCGTGTTTGAGTTTTTATTATTTTGTTAATTGATTTTATCTTATACCATTCTGTTAACAGAAGAGGCATTGTTCCTAATAGAAGGATTTTTGAAGTACTATGACATGCACTATTTAATGACAAAAAAAAAAAAAACTTACCAAAAAAAAAATAGTTAAAAACTATTTTTTCTGATTTTTTTACTTGATTGGGAGTTAGAAAAGTAAATTCTAAAGCATGAGCAAAAAATTATATATATTCTAAGATGGGTGCAAGTTCTTTCTTTCATTCACATGTTAAATTTTTCATGATTTATGTCCTTGGTGGTTTGAATGGCATGTTGATACACATAAGCATTCTTGCATCTACATGCATGCGTGAGATCATTGGCATTTTCTCCTTATTGGGGAAATTTGCTAATTTCATTATAGTTTGGACCTTTGTGTTCTCAGTTTTAACATATAATTGATTGACATTTGTTTGGCCTTGCTTACCTACGGAAAAAATGTGTATGACGTAGTGTACTCTTTGAACAAAGGATGTCATTGATACTTTGGGTCTGTGAAGATCAAAGAAGCCTTATCTAAAATAAAATAAGATTTCTATAAGGACTTCATTAATATTTGGGTAGCTATAGTTTGGCCAATTTTTTTTTATACTATCGGTCAAAATCTTGTTCTCACGTGTGTTGTCTACGGTTTTACTTTGAGTTTTCTTAAATGATCTATTGTACCTTTTTTATTTTTTGAAGGGAAGAGTAAAGAATAGATTTGTGCACGAATTTTGTAATAAACAAGGATTAACAAAAGAATTAGCTGCTATCAGAATAGATTGACAATAGAAATGTTCAATGTGGGATGTTGAACAGCCCAACTGAAATGATCTATGCTATCAACAATGGCAAGGGGTGGACCAATGATTTTCCCCAATCATTGTTTCCTTTTGCAAGGTTCCAGACTGTATTCTTCGTGTAATTTCAGTTTCAAATGTTGTGGTTGGCCATTACTTCCAATATGATATTTGAAAACAAGACACACTCAAAATAGGTGTGTCAGGAATATGGGTAAATATTATTGTCACATTGATTAAACTGCTATATATGCATGTGCATGTGCATAATCCATCTATTGTGCACCTATTTTGTTCTTAATTTTTTTTGCTTCAAATACATATATAATTATTATTACATTGCTCAATCTATTATACGACTTAACCTGTAAGACTTTATAATTGTTACTGGAGAGTATAAACACTTCATCGAAGCATCTTGAACAAATAATTTGACCAAATAAACAAAAAATATACTTTTAACTTCCACGGGACTCACTTGTAACGCACGTGTGCGTTTACTAGTTTATCTAAACAGTAGGAGAGCAATTACGTAGGACCGAAGCCAAAGACGGAACGTGTTGCCCATTGAGTATCCAAAATCGACGACGTCGGAGGGGTGTCTCCGTTGACAGTTTCTTTAATCGTAATGTTTCGGACATTGCTCCGGTGGTTGGTGGCTACAGGTGAGGTGGGCTGCCTTTATTAGTAATCAATTAGAAATGACCAATCACTTAATTCTTAAACCAATCTTCAATTCTTGCTTAATCATACCACTTTAGGCATTTTTGGGATGTGAAGTGCGAGTATGTTGGCCCTACATTGTCACCATTCAAATAATGATTATAACTTATAAGCTTGTTTTGGGTCGATGAGATGAGCATATTCCTATTAGAGCAACCATTTAGTTGATTCATTCGCTCAATACTAAGGGCATAGACTAGGGATAGAAGTAGCAATCTCAGTGGTGATAATTTCAATTATGAATTAGAGGAATGGTAATTGGGTGATTATGTTGTGATCAATGTTATATGGATATTTGGTATGTGATACTGGTACGGATACGCAATACAGTGCAATGCGGGTAGACTTAATTAGTATGCTGTTTTAAATCGTATTTCATTTTTTTATAGGATTGCTTTCTTAATTATGTAAGATTATATATAATAATTAATCAGTATTTATTTTGGAGTTAGAGGTACAATTTGAGGTCGGGAATTTAAGCGATTTAGATTGTGAACCCATCATGTTTCGGATTGTACCACCTTGGTTCGTGGGATAGTAGGGGTATCTTCAAAATGTACATTACTTGGATAAAACATCTAACTTTTTTTTTTTTTTTTTTTTGGGGGGGGGGGGGTGTTTTACTCTTCCATGATTAGATTTATGTGAAGCCTTTTTATCTTGCTGTTCATATTCTTGAGCGGATCTATTTACCCTTGGTTTGGCCGTGATCAATCCTCTTAATGGTCTGGTATGGGTGGTCTCTCAGACCAAATCTATGTCTATGTTAAGGGCACTTCATTTGCCTTCAATATCTGAATTCTCTCTCTCTCAAGCTCATTAGTTCATTAAGCCACATTCCATCTCTTCAGTTCAGGGGAACGTTTTATATATCACCTTACATGACTCACTGAACTTCAACAAAAGATTGTTGATAGAATAGTACTTCACTTTTTATTTGAAGTGACTGGTTACATGAGTTTAATAAGCTACTTCACTCAGCCAATGTATGCCATTCTCAGGAATGACCCAACGGTAATCCAACCCAAAAATCATCTCTTAGAACAATACATCTTCTATGCTTAGTATGGGTAAACCAGATAACTCATTTAGCTTCATTATTCTTGTCTAAGGGTACCAGATAAAAGTACTCAAAATTTAGTTGTCTTTTGGTCATCGCGTTCAGTTACAGGATGATGTTGATTGTGATTGTTGACACTTGCATTATTTATGAAGTGTGATTGAAATGCATCACATGGCCGAGGATTAGAAGGTATACTAGGGGAATACGCTCATTACAACTCTGGATGATCCAATTATGTTTTCAGATTCTGGGGCAATGCATGCTTAGGTTGCATTTCATTTGTTATCAACTTTCTGCTTACTTCTTACCTGTATAAATGTGCTCCTATGCGCCATCTCAACAATATATAAAACCTTTGACACATTATCTCTTTCTTCCTGCAATATTACAATTAGAATCCATTTCATAAGACTCTGAATTCATTCTATCTTATTCACAAATCACAACCCATAACCATGCCAAAACCACTAGTAGATTGAACATTAAACCAAATAAGAAGAAAATGAATCATTATATCATTTGGTGAACATCAGAATGAAAAAAACAAACCATGTAACCCTGCCATAAAACAACTACTACGGAAAGTATGTAATCTATGATCTTTCTTTTTTCAATCGCATCTCTAACAAAACAAGAAAATCAGATACAAATTGGTGAACAATGAAAAGAAAGAATGACTGTGTAGTTGATCTATTTTACATGCGTAGGCAGGCTTCAAGGAGCCCTAATTTCTCCGATCACAAAGGAGACCTCTCCTCCCAAGGCAGAAACCTAGTAGCAGGATCGGCTAAATTGGCCAGAACAAAATCCCTCAGACCAGTGTCCCAAATCTCACAGAACTGTCGTCGCCAATTGGGCGGTTCAATGGCCTCTGTACCTAACCCGGGTGCTCTATCCCTTGATCCTTCATTGTGGTTATCTTGCCAATCTGTAACATAGGTGGCAACCCTTCTCAAAAACTTTGCTCTGAAAACCTCCCACACCTGGTATTTGTAGTGGTTTATCACAGCTGTACTTGCAGGCAAGTTCAGGTAGCTGAAACCCTTTCTCAGATGAAAATGATGCACCACATTAAGAAGGGTAATGTCGAGGGCATCTGGGCGCACAATTGATTTGTGCCTCTCGGGACTCTGAAGCCTGCAAGTGTACCCTACTGTGACTCCCTGTGAGGGGGGTGAATTCAACCCAGATGGCCCAAAGCTGTGGCAAGCTGCTCTGATCTCTGCAATGGTTGTCGATGATGAAAAATTCGCAACCAAGCTTCGAAGGGAATTCTGCCCCGGAAACCCCAATTTCCTGTTTCTTTGAGTCCGAGGAGTTGGAAGTGGAAAGTAGAAGAATTCATCAACATCCATGAATGAAACCCAATTGCATTCATCCTTTGCTCTAAGAGCACAGTGGGAAAAACCCGCTTCTTGTGTCTTAATCCATGGCCATAGATGCCTAGTAACATTATAATCCTCTAGCTCAAGCTCTTCAATCACCTCTTTGATACCATCATCACTATTGTTGTCATAGATAAACCATCTCTCGACTCCAAGCCAAGCATGGTACATAATCCATTCACGAAGCGAAGAAGCTTGGTTCCACAACATTGTGCACACACAAAGCTCATACTTTGCTTTTCTATTCCTCTTCCCATCCGATTTAGAATCGAAAAGCTTGGCCACAGAAGGCACAATCACATGATCATGAGCTTTGGCATGAACATTGGGTGTCACCCCAATTGTAACCCGAATCCCCTGTGCCTTGCTCGGATTCTTCTTAATACTCCATGGCAAATCACACCTCACAACCTCTTGAGCGGCCGTAATCGCTCTAGTGGTAAGCTCAAATCCTCCATTTCTCTCCCAATTCCCCAATCCAAAATGGCACCTATATTGGCTTGGATCCGATTCTCTCTCTTGCCTCAAATTCAATCCCTTCACAAACACCACCGCCGTGCCACCATCCAAAACCGCCACATACGCCACGTTTTCCCAAGAATGAGCCGTCTGGTTCCTCCTCAACAACCCATCACCGCCACCCAACTCCACCACACTCCCACCACGCCACCCTAAACTTACTACAGCTGAGTAATTCGCCGGTGGAAGCGGACAGCGCGCAATAAATCGAAACTCATCGTACTCATCCACCGACAAAACACTATGCTTAACGGTCACTATATCATCAGAATCAGTACTATTCAAGAAACTCTTACCGTATACGCATTCCAATCCTTCACTATTCTTAATCCATTCATTCTTCCTCGTACTAGACACCAATAATAAGACATGGTCGGGAAACAAAACCCGATCTTCTATTCTGAAAGGCGATGATAAATAGTAACCTTTCGAATAATCTAGAACTGACTCATTTGAAGAGGAAGACAACAAAGATAGGCTCGAAACTACTAGAATAGGGTGAAAAGTTGAGGGGTTTATAGAGAAAATTCGATAGGATAACAAGTAGAGGAAGATGAGGAAGCTGAAGCTCAAGATGAAAGATCTTGCAGAGAGGTAGTGTTTAGGAGAGTATTGTGGTCTGACGAAACGTTTTCGCTTGCGACGTTGCTCTGGAGAATCCATTTTTGGATTATTAAAGTTGGTTTTGGGAATTATTATAGGATTTGGACCTGTTGAGGAGGTTGAAGTGTAATTGAAGTGTGTTGGGTACGAGTTTTGTGGAGAGTTATCGAAGGTGTTGGGTGCTAACAGGGGGTTGTTTTGAGGGATTTCGGTTCTGGTAGTCAGGTTTGTGTCGGAGAGAGAATGGTAGCGGAAAGTAGTCAGACGACGCGTTTGATTAACTCTACCGACTGCATTGACTTGTGTGGACACAATACGTTAATTTAATTTATGGTTATGGTTCGATTAATAATTGAATTATTATTAAATATCAAACAATATTTTACTGTCAATTTAATGATATAATTAGTCTAATGAATGGTGTTATATCGGATTGTGTCATGTATGTATGAATCGTGTATAATTGATATACAAACGAGTCATGTTGTGTATTTTTTCTTGTTATATTCGCTCATATTTAATTCGTTTATTAATTGTGTTGGATTAGGTCTACTTATTTAATAAATAGGTGATTTAAAGAATGCACAAATCCTCTAATTTTATGTAGTGTTTGTATCGTATTCACATATTATGTCATATTTTGACACTCCTATTAGAGCATCATCAACTCTTACCTTTTTTCTAAACTCAAATTTAAATTTGAGTAAAAAACTCTTAAAAACTTCTCTAATACTATATTCAAATCTATATCAAATTGAGTTTGTTTTATAAATTTGAGTTTGTTCTCTCTTAATTTTAGGTTTTTTTTTATATTAAATTAAACTTTTTATTCATATGTTGATTCAAATTTAAGTCAATGGCTCTAAAGGGAGATATATTTAATTAAATAGGGGTTAAAAAGTTTGCTGAGCTGTTATTTGAGAAGAAATAAATAGTAATATTGATAATTAAGGTGATTGGGTAGCTAAAGAAGGAATTATAAGTAGTTATTCACTAATCAATTTTTTGTGATATATCTATTTCTATTTTGGTTTAATAATTTGGGCTGTTTAAATTAATTTATATGTATTTTGACTAATTTTTTTTGTTCTGTCAAAGACTGATCATTCATAACGAAACTAATGTATTCATGAGAGATAAATCACTTATGGTTTAATCTCAAAAGGATACTAAAATTTGAACTCAAAATGTCTAAATTTATAACTCGTCATTATTATCACTTAAACTATTTTTGAGATTGTGATACGTCTATTTCATCGTACCAACTATCTGAAATCCCTATCTCACTTTTCGAGAATTTACAAAAATAAAATAAAAATGAGATAGTTAAAAATAGGACTAATCATAAAATGTTTTTTTTTTCCCCAAAATTTGAATCACATTACAATCGGCTTCCTTCGTCATAATTTTTCTTTTTGATTTTGAAGTTTTCCTTATAGAATTCTAGCTTGTGGATTGAAAATGGAATCTTCTGGCCGGCCTATCTGGACTCATTCCATTTGGTGTATTGTTTAACGTTTCGTGTTTACGAAGCTAAGAAGCACCTTCTGCTGCATGACTTTTTTGTTTTCTTCTTTCCAACTGTTGGACCAGCACATCTGTCAAAGCCTGTGGAAAACGAAGTGGGATAAGATTAGGTGAATTTCACTTTGTACCCCAAAAATTTTTAAAAAAATTATTTTATATTCTCAAAAATTAGATTTCTTATATTATAATAATATCAATGTATGTGTCAAAAGTATTGTAATAAGGGTGTAATATTATAAATTTAATCTTTAATAATGTAAAATAAAAAAAAAGTTGGAGTGTTAAAGTGTGATTTCTCCAATTATTAATCTGTTCCAAGTCTGCATCTTTGAAGGTCCTTTCATTATTATATGTGGTTGTTACGTTTCACGTGGGTCGTTTTCAGCATCTTACACAAAATGAAGCTTCCTAAACTTAATGATTGTATCCTCTGCTGCTCTGAATTTATCCTTTTCTTCAGCGTTTTCGGTTTGGTGGGAATAGAATTAATCATTAGAGTACCTCAGTTTGTAAATAAATTTATTAATTTACCGTATTTTTAAATTTAATTAATAAATTATAATACTTGTTAAAAAGAGAGATTAACAATTTTGTTTTTTAAAAAGTGTCATAATTTAAGAAATAAATTCAAAAATAACGCAAATTACCCATTTACCCCGTGTTAAAACAAAATCTATGTACAAATAAAATAGAAATTAGATGTACCAAAAAAAAAATAGAAATTTGAACTTGACATGTAACAACTCGATCGACATCCATATTTACTATAACCTGATTTTTCATATGCATGGTTGTCATTATTTTTGCAATGGGCTGCTGTCAGTTACTTCTACTTTGTCAATCTAGTATTTTGATTATTTTAGATATTTTCCAACAAACAGAATACTAAAAACAGTTGTTGCTAGGACGTAGGCTGTTGATTTGGAGGAGTTGAGATTAAAAAAAAATAAATTATTCTTGATATATAGCCAAAAAATTATGATTAAAACGTATTTTTTTTATTTTTATGTTTGGTAGAAGAGATGAAAAAAAACATCGAAAGTGATAATGTTTTTGCTATTTCTTGATATAAATAAATAAATACATATTTACTAATTAAATATAATAAATGCAAAGAATATTATACTACCAAACATAAAAAGACTAAAATGTCAATAGGTGATAATAAAGATTGTGGACCCCATTGCTGACACCTTTGACGGTCCAATTTTTATCATTTTCCTCCCAGTTTTGGTAGGCAGGAGGAATAATTCTTTTTTCATCTCATTTTCTTTGTCCTCTATCTTTTCTTCTAAACCAAAATTAGGATAATTATCTTCTTGTTTTTTTATCCTATTTTTCGCCTTTTATTTTCTATTCATCCCACTTTCACCGATACCAAACAGGCCGTGACTTTTGGTACCCTTTAAGAAAACAAATTTGATATCATATCAAAATGTATTGATTTGATTAATTTATAACCGTTGATTGCCAAATAAAAAATAATTTAGTAAAATAAAAATGAGTAATGTCAGAATCACTAAAAAAATGACAGAAAAATATAAATTAACTGACGTCTTTAAAGTATAAAAATTTTATTACAAAATATTTCACAAATTTATGAAAACTCTAATTAGTCTTCTTTTTACACACACACTCATACACATAGTTGCACACACACAGCACACATACATTAAAATTTAAATGTTCTAATTTGTTCTATTTTTTTGTTCAAATTAAAATCTGCACACACATACACATAGTTACCATACACACACATACGTGCACTACCCACACACACTTTAAAATCTAATTTGATCAAATCAAACTAATTTGATATATCGTAATTTTTTAATGAATAAGGAATAAGACTCGTATATAATGGGTTTTATTTCTACACATAATAAATAATATGTCAAGATAAAAATTAAAATATATATATATATTAGCGAAAATTTTACATCCAAACAGTCGCCGAAAGGTCTATATTGGCTCCATAGAACACCTTATCACATATGAATGGATAATTTTATGTACGCTAAATTTATTTATTAAAAATGTACACCAAATATTGTCGGCCGTTGGATGATAGTGGGTCCCCTAATCCAATGACGGACAATTATTTGGTGCATATTTTTTTATGAACAAATTTGATGTTCAAATATTATTGCTCCAGGTGGGTATGGCATCAAGTGTTTCAAAAACTTTTTATGCTTTCTTATTTTTTTCCCATTAAACAAAGATAAAGTTCCTTCGGATCAATCATACATACTCAATTCTTTCAATACCGTTAGATGCGCCTGGAAAAATGGTTTGCTTTTAAGAGTGGGAGTTTCACTCTTTCTTATTTAATAGTGTTTAAGGCTCTTTTTTCAGATGAGTTCTTCACGTGAAAGAGATTTTCCTTTACGATTCTAGGGGAGGTGGCTCCCGGTAGCTGTCCCACTGAATTTGGAAGACACTTACATACATACATAGTCGTAAAAAGATCATCACCAAGTTAAAATTTAGGGATAAAAATTGTGTTAGAGTCGAGTCATATTTGTGTTGTGTTATTTTGGATTCGTGTTGAGCACTAATTAATTTTAATTTAACTCGTTTAATTAATCGTGTCGATTTATTTATTTTCGTGTTGTATTTGTATTAATTCATATAACTCGTAAATAAAAATTTAATACTCAATTTTATGTGTAAAATTTTATTATCACTTAATCAAAGTATTCTATGCTTATATTTTTTCTATAAACTAAAAATTTACTTAATGAATATAATAATATAAATGACTAAAAATATTTTTTGTGTACAAAATTATGTCACCACTTGATAAAATATAATAAAAAATTAACATTTTATTGTTATAATACTATTTAAACGTATTAATCATGTTAATTTTATGTTGTTCGTATTTGAACTAACTCAATTCATTTATTATTCATGTTAATGGGTCGTGTTATGTACAGGTTCATGTCGAGAAATAATTAATCCTAATCCGTTAATATTTTTTATTCATTCAAAGAATTCACTCACCATGTATGAAAAAAGATAATCTCAAACTAGACTTAGCAATAAAATGAATGATAATTTTATGGTGAACTCTTTGATTGTGTACATTGAAAAAATACTATAAAAAAATTTAGGATTTAACCAATCAAATATAAACAACTTTTGAGAATTAAAAAACATCACATTCCACTATAATATATCATCCAGTCTTTGATTTTTTTTTTATCCTGTTTTTGGTCCCACTGACTTACAATTCTGGCTCTGCCCTTGGGTCTCCCTCTCTCGTTGTGTGTCCTTAATTTTAAAAAATGTTTTAGGTAGAAACAATGTTAAAAGTTACTTAAACAAGATATTTTAGTTTATCTCTTTCGTGGGATAACTTCATGGTTCCGCTTCACCATAACGAGATTCAAACTCTTGTTCCTACTCCTTAGTAATCCGTCTTTTACCCCCAAGATCAACCAACCAGTTAACAACTCTCTTATATAAATGGTATGAACAACTGATGCCGTTCTTACGAGTAGGGTTGATAATACAATTGAGCCTTACGAATTTTTTTTTTTTTTGAATAAATTTAAAAATTATTTAAACTCAGTTCGTTTAAAACAATGAATTTAGCCCGAGCTGAGTCCAAAATAAGTCGAGTTTAAGTAGTTTGACTATTTTATATATAAACGAGTCTAAAAAATTATTTAAGTTCAATTCGTTTTAAGTTAAATTCTATACTGGTCAAATTTGAGTCGAGTCGAGTCTCAATAGTAGCTCGGCTCGATTATCATCCCTATTTATGAGAAAGAAAATGCATTGTCCTCCTGCACCACACTGAGATAATCTGAGCCCAAGAACACTAACAAGTTCAAATTTAAAAATTACTCTAAAATGACCTAACTTTTGGAAAAGTGGATGAGAGCATATTAATCAATTTGAAACTTTTTTCCCAATCAATGTAAGATTTATGTTCATCTTTTTTAATGAACACACAAGGGATGCAAGTAAATTTGTAGAATATATTTTATTCAGTATCATACTGCAAGTGTGAGAACCAATCTGATATTGGTCCTCCATCAACTATGCATCCCAAATCATAGTCAAAGATGAGGCTGATTAACAAAAAGAAAAACTTTGAAGGGGCCCAACCTGCATCAATGCCAACCAAGGCCCAAACCCAGCTGCTTAATTCTCTCAAGCTTGAAATATTAGACAATCTGTCGAGGTTCAAGTTAACTATTTAGGCTTTACCTGAGCCTTTTTGAAAATATATATCAGCCCATCCACCAGTATCCAAATGAGGAGCGACAATCGAGTCGTATCAAATTTTTATCATGTCATTACAGGGTTCTTGTCGAATACTAATTAACCCTAATCTAACTTATTTAATTAATCATGTCATGTCGATTGACCTGTTTATTTTTGTGTGAAATTCGTTTTTATGCTGACTCATATAAATTTTAAATAAAAAACTTAACACTAAGATTTAAATATAAAATTCTATTATCAATTAATTGAATTTATACTCATACTTTTCCTATAAACTAAAAATTAACTTAATAAACTTAACAATAAAAATGTCTTTTTATACAATAATTATGTCGGTACATTAACACTCCCATTTATTATTCGTGTTATCAGAGCGTGTCATTTACGTGTTCGAGTTGAGAAATGATCAATCTTAACTCGTTAATTTCGTGTCAAGTTCAAATCGTGTTTTCGTATTGTAAAAAATTACCCCCCTAATCAAATCCTTTCTACTTTCTTAACACTACCCATATAGCAGTTTTGACTGCCTCTCAAGAAAAGGATTCACTAGAGTTGAGTTCTAGTTGGCCGTGCCTGTGAGGAGAACAACACTTAAGCAGGAAGCTAGGATCCCCATTTTATGTCCCCCTCGTCTCCGTGCCGTGAAAGAAAGGTGGCAAAAAGAAACAGACAATTCGGGTTTCTCTCATCGTTTGCCCTTTGAGGTAGGTTATCCGAAGTACATTAGCAAGGCGTACTCCTGTTAGCACTAGCATGTAGACCATAAAGGTGGCATTTGAAACCAAACTTATCCTCAAGCAGGTAGCTGCAACACCTAATTTTATTGCCATTTACCACCAACCAGGGGGAAGATGTATCTAACACATACATACGCAGATCGGCTGAACATATGTTGTGTTGATGCTATGTGACAACCAATAGTTCTGCAGCGAAACATATAATTTTATTTTAACCGGAACAGCTATAAATTCGGTTGCATGAAAACTTAATGCTCTACATATAGACAGCAAATGGTGAGGCAGCGTTTTGTATAAACTTAAATTAAATGTGGCCCAAATCCAGGGAGATTTGCACCGACCTTGCAACTAGTCATATGAATGCAGCTCCTCTGAGCGAAGAATTCTGGAATGTTTCTGTTGTGTCTATCAAGGAATTGCACTCGATCAAAAGAATAGGAATTGCAAATTCATTCAAAAAGCCATCAAGATAAATAAGCTTCCTTCCGCTTTCCTCATGAAAATCATGGTGTCTCCTTCTTGGATAAAATGGGTGCAAATTGAATTATTCCCGGTACACAAATGATCTGATAAGAAAAGACACACAATAAAAAAAAATGGCAATGATGGAGTGCACAAGCATGTATTATATCCATATCAAAACCCATATAAACAAGTACATGGCACAAGTAAGACAAAAGGCAGATGTCCAATTACCTTGTGGTTAGGTTTGCTGCTGCATACACTTCGCAAGTGAAGCCCCATCAAGCACACCAGCATTCCCCCCTCGTATTCTCTCAGCATCTGGATCTATCTTTTGTGGTGTTCTGTTTGAGAATGCCTTCAAAGTTTCCCTTAAGTTTGTGCGCCTATCTCCCATTGGGTTTGCAACAGATTGTCCTCTACTTTGTTGCTGATCCCTTGGACTGTCCAGCTTAAACATTTCTGCATTTGCATCTTTATGTGGCATACTGTGGGTGGCAGTCAGTGATTGGGTTCTCCCACAGAAAGAGGATCTTGAAATAGAGTACTGTGCTTCTGTTCTCTTCCAAAACTTTGGACTCAGAAATTCTGCACCAGGTAGCATGCAACACGTATTTCCTGCAGAGCCTTTTGAAATCATTCCAGTTGATATCGCCAAATCTTGTGACATCTCATCCAGTGCTTTCTCTAGGCCATTTTACACGCGTCTCCAGATAATTCATCCACTTTGGGAGCTCCCAATGAACCTCTAGAATCAAGTATATAAAAAGCTTAATGTCGGCAGATGCTTGTTGGAAGTTATTTTATTTGTTATTGGATCAACAATACATGACATAGAAAAGAATGACTTGTTGCAACCTGCTAAGTTTCACAGTACAGAAATTGAACAAGCCCACCAGAAAGTAAACAAATCTATAGGCTAATAAATATGTTCTAGGCTGGATTGCTCATTGCATCACAACATATTCAAGGCAAAGAGTTAGCCCTCTATGGAAGAAATACCCACAAGAGGCCGAGTAGCAGTAATTCAGAATGAAAACATAATGTAATCACCACCCAAAAGACAGGTTATATAGACAAGCACAAATACTACACAGATCAAGTATGACCTTATAACGCAACTAACACAGAAGGCACTACCAGAAGGACATAATTATTAAGATACCTGAAGGAGATCCAACAGACTAGATTGTTGGTGTTCGATCTGAAGAAGCTGTTTCCGGATCAAAGACAGATCTTCAATCTCTTTCTGGTTCCCATAGACCTCTTCAGTATTATTACCGTCTGTCATGTCCAACTCGCAGTAATCATTCTCATGGAATGGAACCACACGAGACCCAAATTTCAAACTTCCCAATTTATGCAGTTTTTCATCACACAAGTTTGATTGAAGAGGGAGCGTTTTTTTGTCTTTTTGAGTAACCACTACTATCACCATCTGCAGAAGGGGAAACCCAAGGTGTTTACTCCTAAGATCATCTTCACAAGCCACCTTCGATGAGGAAGCCTGGGGTAAGGCAATATCAATTTTCCAATCAGAAGGTTTATTTATGTCAGTGTTACTGAACATTGGTGCATTTGGTTTCTTTTGACTACTCTTTGGCGGACTTCTTTTCTGGGTGGAGGCAGCCTCGGATGGAGGTGTCCTGCTTGTGATGATTGTTTTTCTTCTGTTGAGGAGTTTCAATGCCCATATCACAGAAACCTTTGGAGACAGTAGGGGAGTATCCACTATTACCACAGTCTGCATGCATTAGAAACCACAACATGAGCCAAATGGTAATCACTATGATATTTGGCTCCCACAATGATTGTTCTGACAAATTTTCTCTTATCCTTTGAAAGTTTAGCAGTGATAGGTTGGTTCCATTTGGTGTTCAAGAAAATTAGTTACCAGCAATCACACTAGAAAACCCCCAAAGTACTTCATGCTTTGAAATACAGACACATGCGATACATTTTCACCCAAAGAAGACCTTAGAGTACACAGCAAATTCACAAAATGAAGACAAAAAGATTCAACTCCATATGTATGTGCATGAAAAGTGTATTATGTGGAGCTATATATATTTGTAAAGGAATTTATTCATTTAGAACAAGGATAGAAAATTAAACACGGGAGAGAACCAGTGTCATGTCAAGTACAATCAAAGTATAGTCCTAAAGACAAGTCCCTACATTTTATTATCGCTCCAGCAACACAGTAATAACTCCACAATTTTATTTTTTTCAGAATGATAAAAAAAAAAAAAAGGTTCTTCTACTATTTGTTGTTTTTTTGCCTAACATTTTGACCCCTAAAATTTTCACTTAGTGATTTAGCAATCAGACTAAAAAATAATTTTATTCGATGCCTGTACCAGGTATACATAAGGGACTATAATGAAGTAAGTCAGCAAGGGTTAAAATCTCATACTTGATCGAATGGTATGGATTGTGGAGAATAATCATCCCTGATATTTTTTTCTTTGGAAAAGACAACAATTCAAGTAAAACACAACTTACTATGTTAATAGCTTTGCAATAAAATGAAAAGAAACTTATTTATCTACTTCAGAATCAAAATTTTTCTGAAGAAAATGTGAGAACAAGAGGAAATAAGATACTCTGTGCTGTCATTCATGCAGTGATTGGTAAATATGCATGAAGTAATTTAAATACAAACTTAGTTGTCATATATGATGAAATTACTACAGCTTTAGACACAGTAACTAGTCAACAATCCCTTACCTTTT